TTTTATTTCATGGTAATTTTAGAAGTGTATCTTACAATAGTTCTATTAAGGTAGACCTGATAATCTCCAAGTCTGAGAGGCATTCTTAATTGCTGTTGTTGTTGTTAAGTGCCATCGAGTTGTTTCCAATTCATAGTGACCTTGTATAGGGTTTCTGAGGAGCAGCTGGTGAGCTTGAAACACTGACCTTGCAGTTCATCGCATAAACCCACAGTGCCACACTGTTTATTTAGAATAATGAAAATATTCTAACTGATAAGACTTGAACCTTAAATTTGACAACAAGAAGAAACAGATCAATATTATTATCAAACAAATAAAAAATTTTTTTAAAAGAAAACTTTTAAGCAAAATAAAAGCATTCACTTTATGTAAATAAAAGATCGCTTACTATAATGAAGTTATATAATGTCAACCATTAATTCAAAGGCTTTTAATCACATTTTCATTACTAAGTAAATAGTGAACTAAGTCATTGTTTCAGTCATTTAATGGCATCTTCATAATATCCTTAATTTTTTAAAATCAAATTAATATCTTTTATTTAAATGAGAATGGAAATTTTTATTGTTACTGCATATAGGAATGAAGTGCCACTGATACATAGAAGGGGAACATACAAATAAGTGCTAAATGGTAGCTGAATTCTATATCTGTAGAAGAACTATAGTGAAAGACTTTCCCAAGTGTGAGAGTAGTATAAAATACACACTACCACCAAAAAATACACATTACCACACTCTTTCTTACTAAAGGGAAGAACTTAAGGGGAAGTTAAAGTTAAAATGATACGCTACTTAATGCTATTTAATGCCATATTCCAAGGAGCTCTGGTAGCGTAGTGGTTAGGAATCGGGCTGCTAATCTCATGGTCAGCAGTTCAAAATACCAGCTGTTTCATGGGAGAAAGATGAGGCTTTGTGCTCCTGTAAAGATTTGCAGACTCGGAAACCCTGTGTAGGGTTGCTATAGGAACCGACTCCAAAACAATGTCATAATCCTGGGCCACTGGGGTACCAAGCATGGTATAACCTCATACTTTGGGAAATTCTGAACTAGACTTCAAATCAGAAAGGTGGAAAAAAGAAACCCCAAAACAAACAGGAAGAAATTAATACACAAATAAACACAATAAAAAAAATAGACGGAAAAAAAAAAACCATGACTTGATTTTTAGAAAATACCAGTTGTCATGAAAAGATGTGAAATAAATTGGGCTTCATTTTCTGACAACCTGCAAGTAATGGCTGCCTTACCCCAGCCCCAGCCCCAACTAAAAATCATAGGAAATTAAGAGTGAGAATGATGAGCCCCTGAAGATCAGAGCAACTTTACAAAAAATTTTAAAGTTATTGCTATGGGTTCTGTTAAACCAATGTGGACTATCCTCAGGACTTAAGTGGGGAAGCCAATGGAGATGGTTATTGAGCTGAGAGACCTAGAAAGTTGTAGGCTGGTCAGGTACTAAACTGAGTTCCAATGAAGCAACAAAATCCCCTGGATAAATTGGAAATCAGTCCCAGTAAACAGACATTTTCACATAGAATCCCTTATATAACTGAAAGCAAATTGGTCTTAATATTCCTGCATCAGGTAGACTTTGAATATAAGTAAAAACAAGTAATAGAAATTTAAATGCTATTCTCTCCAATGACCACCACCCCCACCCCCACCCCAGTTGCTGTGGCATGGATTCCAACACATGCAGACCCCATGTATTTCAGAATAGAACTGTGCTCCATAGGGTTTCTAAGGTTGTAATTTTTTTTTAAATGTTTTATTGTGAACCGAGTGAAGTTTTACAGACAAAATTATCAGTTTTATATTCAACAACAAATCATACACTTTATTTCATCTCAATGATTGCAATCCCCTCCATGTGACAGTTCCATGCCACCCATCTTCCCATCCCTTCACAACTTTGTCCTTAGGCACATGGTGCACTCTTAATTTTGAATGGTTGACCATTCCAGAGTGAGCATACCTAACTAGTGTTGTCCCCTTGTATACCTACCTCCTGCTTGATGGAAAACTGGACCATGGGGTGGATGGGCTGCTTTCAGGGCCTGAAGGGTGATCATGGGCCACTGTCTAGGGTTCCTCCACAAGGCTGTAATCTTTACAGAAGCAGACTGCCACATCTTTCTCCCACCGCAGCAGCTGGTGGTATAAACTGCTGATCTTTTCATTAGCACCCAAGATCTTTAACCACTGCGCCACCAGTGCTCACTGAGAGTAGCCAAGTCAGCTGAAAATGAAGACCCTATGTCATAATGCTATGAGTTTTGAGCAAAATACATAGTTTATACCTTAAATTTTAAGCCTTTTAATATCTGTTGCAGAAAACCAAAAGAGAAGGGATTTTATTTAAAGAAAGAGAGAAAGAGAGAGCTATAGAGACGTGGGAAATATTTTACTGATAAGAAAGTAAAACACTTGAAAGCATATTTTGAATAGGCATTTGTAATTATTTTCATGTAAGTTGGCTATATCCTTAGAAAGTTTGTGGAAGCAATAATGTCTATTTAAAAGTAAAAATTTTAATACGACAGACAATGAACCAATGACCTTGTGATCATTCACAACAACAATGTTCAATACTGGAATTCAGGTATGGTGCTGTAGGATAAGCACTGGACCACAAGGTCAATTTGAACACAAGATCAATAGTTCAAAGTCACCAATCACTCCTCAGAAACCCTATACTGGGTCACTATGAATCACAAATAACTCAATGGCACTTAAAAACAACAATATTTAGTACAAGATTCCTAGTGTGGTGCTATAGGATAAGAACTGGACGGCTAACCACAAGGTCGTTGGTTCAAACACACCTGCTGCTCCTTGGAAACCCTATACAGGGTCGCTATGGTCGGAACTGACTCAATGGCACTAAACAACAATAATGTTCAGTACATGTGATATAGCTGTAATTGTTAAAAACAACATTGTGACTAAAAGAAACATATTGTATCTAGGTAACATCATTGATTTTTTAAAAACAAACTTCATGTTCACATCATTTTAGATTTACAGAAAAGTTGTAAAGAAGTTTCCATATGCATGTCCATTTGTTGTTGTTGTTGTGAAGTGCTGTGGAGTCAGATCTGTCTCATGGCTACCCTATTTAGAGTTTTGGTGAAGTGGGCAGGGGGCACTCTCCCAAGCACCAGAGAAACAAACGTTCACACCTTTATCTCCCTGTGATGGGAGCACTCCCTTGATCCTTTCACCAGCTGTTTCCCGCTCAACATGGTTGCTCTGGGACCTGCCAGCAGCTGCAGATCAGAAAACACCACCTTTCTTGCTTCTGCTGTTAAACCCACTAGCAGTAACCCTCGATCCTTCTAAATATTCCTTTATATGTAGCTCACAGTTCCAGACCATCCCCTGAACCTGTTTCTGTGTTATTATTAACGGAGGGCTGCAGGGCACCTCTCCCTAATCCACCATCAAGTCCTGCCTCTCCTTGCTTTCATTTTTTCTTTAAGTATTTTAGTAATTTTTAAATCATCAGTTGATATCTGAGAGATCAAGAATTCATTGGGCTCTGTGGAGTGTTTTGACTGTAGTTCAACTACTATGCTATCATATTTAATTTTTCATAATTTAAGTTTGTATGAGTCAAATACACAAGCCACAATATAACAAAGACTATTACCAAGAGTTTTCATAAAGTCACTGGTTCCTTTATACTTTTCCTGCTCAAGTTCTGGACTTTTGACTTCTGGACATCATTCGTCTTTGATTAACTATCATCTGGTTCCAATCAATAGAAAAGCAAAGAGAAGAGACAGGATTGGGATTCACAGGCAGTTTTCTTTTATACTATTGTTGTTGTTAAGTGCCGTCGAGTCGATTCCAACCCATAGCGACCCTGTATAGGAGCAGCTGGTGAGCTTGAACCACCAACCTTGCAGTTCAAACGACTTTGCAGTCTGATGCATTA